GAAGATAAAATACTTAGGAATAAATCTAACCAGAGACGTAAAAGACCTATACAAGGAAAACTCCAAGACACTACTGCAAGAAACCAAAAGAGACCGACATAAGTGGAAAAACATACCTTGCTCATGGATAAGTAGACTCAACATAGTGAAAATGTCAATTCTACCCAAACCCATCTACAGATACAATGCAATCCTGATCCAAATTCCAACGGCATTTTTTAATGAGATGGAGAAACAAATCACCAACTTCACATAGAAAGGGAAGAGGCCCCAAATAAATAAAGCATTACTCAAGAAGAAGAACAAAGCAGGAGGCCTCACACTACCTGATTTTAGAACCTATTATACTGCCCAGTAGTCAGAACAGCCTAGTACTGTTACAACAACAGATACATAGACCAATGGAACAGAATTGAGAATCCAGACATAAATTCATCCACCTATGAGGAGCTGATATTTGGCAAAGGCCCAAAGCCCATTAATTGGGGAAAAGATAGTCTCTTTAACAAATGCTGCTGGCATAACTGGATATCCATCTGCGAAAAACTGAAACAAGACCCATACCTCATACCACGCACAAAAACTAACTCAAAATGGATCGAGGACTTAAATATAAAATTGAAAACGATAAAGATCATAGAAGAAAAAATAGGGACAGCGCTAGGAGCCCTAATATATGGCATAAACACAATACGAACTGTAAATAACAATGCACAAGCACCAGAAGAGAGACTAGATAAATGGGAGCTCCTAAAAATCAAACACTAATGCTCATCAAAACACTTCACAAAAAAAGTCCAAAAACAACCTACAGACTGGCAAAAAATTTTTGGCTACCACAAATCCGATCAAGGTACTGCAAAACCTCAACAACAAAAAGACAACCCAATTTAAAAACAGGCAAAGGATATGAACAGGCATTCTGCCAAAGAAGATATTCAGGCAGCTAACAGACACATGAAGAAATGCTCATGATCATTAGTCATTAGGAAATGCAGATCAAAACTACAATGAAATATCATCTCACCCAAACAAGGCTAGGACTAATCCAAAAAACACAAAATAGTAAATGCTGGCGAGGTTGTGGAGAGACTGGAACACTTATACACTGTTGGTGAGAATGTAAAATGGTACAACCACTTCGGAAATCGATTTGGTGCTTCCTTAAAAAGCTAGAAATAGAAGTACCATATGATCCAGCTATCCTGCTCCTTGGAATATATCCCAGAGAAATAAGAGCCATCACACGAATAGATATATGCACACCCATGTTCACTGCAGCACTGTTCAGGATAGCAAAAAGATGAAAACAACCTATGTGCCCATCAATGGACGAATGGATAAACAAATTATGGTATATCCACAGAATGGAATACTACGCAATGATAAAGAACAATGATGAAGCCGTGAAACATAACATGGAGGAAGCTGGAACTCATTATGCTGAGTGAATTTAGTCAGTCACAGAAGGACAAATATTATATAAGACCACAATTATAAGAACTCAAGAAAAGGTTTAAACACAGAAGAAAACATTCTTTGATGGTTACGAGGGTGGGGAAGGAGGATGAAGGTTATTTACTAACTAGATAGTAGATAAGAATTATCTTAGATGAAGGGAAAGACAGCACACACTACAGGGGAAGTCAGCACAACTGGACTAAACCAAAGCTAAGAAGTTTCCTGAATACAATCAAACACTTTGAGGGACAGAGT